CAATTTTTATATAACTTTCATCATATTCATCAGCATCAAATAACATAACATTATGTGTCATAGCTGAAGTACCACGTATTATATTTATACCACAAATTAATGAACATTCTGTTGAAAAACGTATTGGTCCTGAAAAATCTTGATCAAGATCTTTTTCATCAACTTGTAATATTTCATCATCATCTGTTATTGTTTGATTAAAATTTTCTATTTTTTGTTGTTTTAATTGTTTTAATAAATTTTCTTCTTGTATAAAATATATTATTATATCATCATTAATACCATTAAATGATGATTTTTGTGTTGCTTCATTATGTATAGAACCATTTGGATTACGTATTAAACGGTCGTCGTCGTCTTAAATCATCTTCCCCCATGGATCTAATTTCCAAAATAATCTTGAACTATTTAAATAAATTGTTTTATCATTAATCATCATCATTAAAAATTTTTCTTGTAAACGTAATGCTATAACTTGATGTCGTTGTCTTGCTGCTGTTATAAAATGTTCACATAATTGTTCTTCTGATTTACGTTCAACAGTTGTTTGTGCTGATAATTATTCAAATTCACTTGCTTTACGTATATCATCAGTACGCATACGATTAACTATAAAATCAGTTTCATTAGCTACTTTAACAACATGATCTTTACTTGTATGTGATAATAAACGTCCTTCATTAACTCATTCAATAAAGGCTAAACCAGCATGTTTCTAAAACCAAAAACAAAATGTATGAAAAAGTTTTTAGATAACAAGATAAATTCTTAGATTTGAATATTTATTATGTGAAGAGAATTTTGCCATTCTTGTGAACATAATAACATAACAAGTTCAACAATAGATGCTGTTTGTTTAAGTGCATGTAAACCACTTGGTAATAATTCTTGTCCATGTGAACCAACTAATGTTTTTGTAAGTATATGTGAAAATTCTATAAATATATCACGTAAAAATGGTGCTTATTCGATAATGCTCGTTCTAATTTTTCTGTTATATTCATTGATGATTCATTTGAATGAAAATTTGCTTTTGGATAATCGGGAAGTTTTGATTCAGTTAATTGATTTTTATTTATTGTTGTTGAATCACTAGTAGGAATACTAGCAATACTTGCTAGAAAAAAAATGTTATGGTTACTTCTCTACATCATATATACCGTATTGAGTAGCTGTAGCACTTGTATTATTTATATCGATTGAATTTTTATTAGTCGATTGTAAATTTATTTTATTAACTTCATTATTATCATCAATAACTGTTGATTCATCATTATTCTACTACAAAATACACAATTTTTAAAACTCCCCCTCCCCCTCCACCCCAAAAAAAATTAATTTAACAAAATTCATACTTGATTATTTGTAATCGATGTTGAATCATTTATACTAACTGTATCTACATTTATCTCACTAGTCGAACCTAATAAAAAAAAACAAAGTTTCTAATAAAGAAATAACAATCTACTTAGGGCAAACCAAAAGTTCGTAGAACGATTTTAAAGAACCTTGTCGGATAAGGTAATCTATTTAGAAATGAAAAACCAAATATACCATGTTGTAGAGCTTTTTGGAGGCGCGTCGAATGATATATAATAAATCCTGTTTTCATAAGACTTTGAAGGAAGTAGAGTCAATTTACTGATACACGACTACACACCCATACTCATACTGACAAGATGACCGGAGATGCTACATATATGAGGTAATAGTCCGTCAAAAACTCTGCAAAATCGTATGTGAGAAAAAATATTTTACAAATACTTTCGACTACTCCCAAGGACCACAATATTCAGTAACCTATCATACTTAGGTGAGAGTGTGAGTATGGGTAAGTAGTCGTCTATCAGTAAATTGACTCTACTTCCTTCAAAGTCTTATGAAAACAGAATTTATTATATACCATTCGACGCGCTTCAAAAAGCTCTACAATATGGTATATTTGGTTTTTCGTTTCTAAATAGATTACCTTATCCGACAAGATTCTTTAAAACTGTTCTACGAACTTTTGGCTAGCCCTAAGTAATATATTCATACCATGTCGAATACTAGGTGTTGTAATTATAATTGATGGTTGTCTAGAAAAATTTGTTTGATTTGTTTCAATTATATCTCGATATCTTGATACCATAAGTACTGATGTAAAATAAAAATTTTCGAAAAAACAACAAGTCAACGTCGAATAACTCGAAAAAATGTGACAGATGGAAGTGATCTTATTTCAAAAATTCATGCAATGATGGAAAAACATAAAGAAGTAAGAATTAATATAAGATAGAGAACTACAAAAAGATGTTTTTTTTTCTCCCAATGTTCTTGATACTTTAGTCCCTTCAGAATCTAGAAAGTTTATAGTCTCGCACTGTTTTATTTATCTTCTAATATAGTTTGAAAACTTGTCTTAGAAGTAGACATTAACAAACTATATTCTATAGGAAAACTGGTGTGATATACTTATTTTATAACAATATATTTGATCTGTCAGAGGAAAAAAAATCAAAAACAATTTTTCTTTTTAAAAATATTTCTAGTCATTTTTGTGTTGTTCGTTTACGTAATCCAATGTCAAATCCTGCAACATTAACCGATACAGATTCATTAATACAATGTGATTTAATGGAATTTCGTGATGCATTTTTAAAT